GGAAACCTTCAGCCGGATGGAAGTGGCAGCAGTTGCCTTTTCCAGCCTCTCCTCAAAGGAAAGGACAGTATTTTCCAGATGTTAATTTAATGTACTGGAGAGCTCAAGGGGAAAGGGGGGCTGTTAGCACTTTACAGATGTGAAAAGAAAGATGCGGCTTTCTGTCCCCACAACCCTGTCATGGGCAATCTGACAGCGAGGAGTGGATTTCTTGTGCTGCTGAATTTTGGCATAAAGGCAAAGTAATTGTCCCCAATGCCATATAGGTCCCATAAGGAAGGGCAAAGGGCAGCTCTGACTCCCAGCCCTCTGCTAAGGCCAAGGATGGGTTTGCAACCAACAGTGTGGGTAGTGCTGATTTAGTCAAAGAGGAGAGAGAACATCCACTTTTCTTGGAAAGGATTTTTCCATTTGACTTGTATACGGGCTCCGCTCAGCCCAAAGGCTGCCCTTGAAGCCCGGGGCAGTCGCAAGGCTGAGGACCCCTTGCCCTTTGCCCCCCCCCGGTTCTCCTACCTGAAACAAGGCGCAGGGGCAGCACGGGGACCTCCCTGAGATGCATGGGCTGGGGAAGGGCTGCGGGTTTTGTCTCTGCTCGGGGTACCAGAAGGGATGAATCCATCCTTTAATCACCAGATCACGCTGCATCTTTACAAATGCTTTTGGAAGAGCATCTCTGAAGCAACTCCATTTTCCTTCTTACTTTAAAAACTTTGACTTTAGTTTTAATCATCCCCAAACCCACAATTCTTTGTTTGCACCTAAACAGGGGTATGAAGATATGGTTGCGTAGAGTGGTATGAGATGGGTTAAGAACGTAGGGAAAAGCGTTTCTGTGCCCCAAAATTTGTCTGCTTTTTCCAATTTTAGCACCCAGTCTACTAAGAGAAATAGTTCTTTAGTACAAGCCTTATAACCACGTCATTCAGAAAAGTTTAGCTAAGAATTAAACTAAACATCAAATTTGGCTGAATGTGTAATGAATAAATAAAGCCTTTTCCTTTCATGTACCTGTGCCAAAATCAACAAGCTCTATTAGCTGATGAAACAATGCTGACGCCAAATAAAAATACCCCTGACCCATCAATATGGGCTAAGAGCTCGGCCCTGCATCAAAGAGCGTTGTCTGAACAAGAAATACTGTCTCGACACCTCTGGGGGGAAAAAAAGGGCTCCCATCCCAGCGGTGAGCTGGGCTCCCTGTGCCGCCGGCCGGGCGCAGGGAGCTCTCACCGGGGTGTCAAGGAGCAGCGAAACCATTACATGATGGCCGTCGGCTTGCAGGCAGTCTGCTCCGGACACCTCTCCTGTATGCCCCACCTTGCTTTTGCTAGAATGACTTGGAAACCCCTTGAGCTGCAAACCTGTTTGGAGCAGGGACCGTGGCTTTGGTGTTTGCTTGCTCCCTGCTGCCTGCCCCATGTGTAAATTGCCCACAAAACCTGCATATTTTTTTATCGTGTGCAAAACGCCAACGCTTGAAAGTGAAATTCTCAAAGGTGCCTGCTCAGTACCAAAGAAATGCTTCAGCATCTCAGAATATCTCGATACCGGGGAGCACCCTGCCCAGCTGTGCCACCCTCCTCCTCCTCCCCGGGAGGGTGGGATGGTGAAGTAACGCCACATCTCCCCTCTGCCCCACACAGCCTGCGCAGCTTTGCCGTTCCCCAGCCATGCCTGTCCTGCAAACCACGCTCATTTGAAATCTGCATTTAGCTGCCCTGTGCCATGCCCTGGATGTGATCTTTGAAGTTTCACCCTTCCCTCGGCATCCTTGGTTAGAAGATCTGTTCCCTATTAGTCTTCAGTCACGCGTTTAGATTCATTCAGGCTTTTATTTACTTATCCATCTGTCTTCCGGCTCCCACCACTCCCCCTGCCCTGCCAGAAGGGAAAGTACAATTCATTTTTCAGCTGACCCTGCCAGAAAGGCATTGACATGAATAGGAAGAAGGTTCAGGAACTGTGGAAAAAGCAAAACCCCCGACTCTAATAAGCAGCAAAATGCTTCCCAACCAGAAGGGAGCAGCCAGATGCGACTAGAATTGCTGTAAAACAGAAAAGACAATCCTCCAAATAATTCCTGCAATCCCCCAGACACCTCCTTTTGCTGAACTCTCTGTGAGTGCTGCTCGAAGTTGTTAAAACCGTAGCGTGCGATCCTGCAGGCTGTGCAATGCCTCCTTGGTACCGGTACAGCCTCGTAGGAAACATTCCCTGTCTTACAGGGTGCTGACTTTCACCAGGGCTCTCCCCCTCTGCTTGCCCACAGCGATGCCCCGCACGGGGACATCGTCCAGTTCCCTCTTGTCTGGCTGCCTTAAGCAAGGAGGGACGTTTGTGTGTCTTTAATTTTGATTTCAGTTGTCTGAGCAGTGCAGGCGTCCTGCCAGGCTGTGCTTAATTCTGAGTAACGTTAGTTTAACTGCACGGACAGTACCCTGCTGTTTTGAAAGACACCTAAGAAAGCAATATAGTCGCTGTAAGAGCTTCTCTGCTGGAAAGCCAGGCTCCTATGAGAACCCACCTGTTACATAAAAATAATTAAAACCTGAAGAGAAAGGATAACAGGACACCAAAAGGCATCCGAGCAGGCTGGCAGGCAAGGAGCTGCGCAGGGTTCATGCGAGTCGCTAACCCTCCCCTCTCGCACCAAGGGCCGGGGCTCGGAGGTTGTAACGATCGGTGGGCAGCGACATTGATTTTTGTCCAGCGCTTCCTTTGCGCAGGGGTAGCAAAACTCCGCTTGCATCCCCTGCGGGCTCCGCTCGCCTCTCTCTGCATGTCAATAGGTGTCAAGTCACCACCCAGGACCGGCGATGGAAAGGCCATTTCTTGCCGAGTCCACTTTCTACTGACCATAAGGGGATGCTCAGCAGTAAATGGCCACGTGTCATTCTCTGTGCCAGAGGCCACGAAAATTTACCTTGATGGCCTCCTGGCACACACAGCTCAAGTCCTCAGGCTGAACTGGAGCCTGGATCTCTCCTGCAGCCACTCTGTGCACTAAGTGCTGGGTGGGCTCCTTGCTCACCTCAGCAGGGCTGCCCTTCATCTGCTTCGTTTTTAACACTCTCTAATCCTCTGGAGAGGACAGCGCTGGTGCAAGATGGGGGAGAAAGGGCCATGAATACAGTGGGATTCCATAAACCTCTCCCAAAAATCTAAAAAAATAACTTGCAATATATTACTCCTGTTCTTAGCTTGATGCTTCATCAGGGAATTGCTCGGGGACGTTGCCGTGAATGCCGGTTTCTGTGTCGGGAGATGCATGCTGGGCTAGGCGCGCACCCCGGGGTGAGGCAGGGACAGGAAGGCAAATCCATGGTTTGCATTTCTGTAACTCCCATTCATGGCTGTTCACGGTGTTTGCGAGTGTTACAGCACATGGCAGGCGTACGCTACGAGGAAATACTGCTGGTGCCCAGAATAGAAAGATTTTAGCTCCGTATTGACTGAATCAAGAGATGTAGAGAGCTGATTGCAGTTTGTGTCATTTGCTTCCTTGGAGGTCAGTGGAACTGAAGTCTGGAGCATCCTTAGCCAGAAAGCGTTTGCAAATAGCTGCAGTGAATGTAGCAGAAAGCAATCTGGTGTTCACCTTTTAATCCTTCTGCAGCCAGTCAGATAAATGGAAATCCGGGCTGACCCATCAATAGTTAACTGTTTCATTTGCAACCTTTGACTTAATCTTTCTTTTCAAATGATCTTTTAAAAGGAAAAGCTGCTACTTATCGGGAATTAGTGAAAGTATCTTCCCTGGTACTAATGAGACCCCTTAGGCTGGGGAGAACTGGGTAAATAAATAGTGGTGGCATGTTCTGATGGTCATAAATGTTTGGCATCTCCTGGTATCAAAGCAGCACTTTTCTCTTGGATTTTCAAGAGGTGCCCTGAGCGGGTTGGGCCCAGGGTATTTCCTACGTGTACCTGCATTTTCTAGGTGGGAAACCGAGGCGTGGGGTATCTGAATCCGGGTAATGCTGGCAATAGAAATTAGAACTCCTGTCCCCTCTTCCACTGATTTAGAGGGAGGAGAACTCCCCTTCTCATTACAGGTAATAGGCTACTATACTCCTTGTCTAGTGCTCACCCCAGTAGAAACCCTGTCAGCGCGGACTGGCTTGGTCAGTGTGCCTTAAATGTGTGCTCAGACAGCTCCTGGAGGACGTTTGGGAGGGGATGTTACAGCCATGCTGTTTTGCTTTTTGCTTTGACCCCCGAACTCTTTTTAAGAACATAAAGCCTTGTGAATTATAAATCAAACGTTC